TGCTCTTGGTAACAAAGCAGGAATCCCACCCATACCCATTTCATACTTCTTTGGGGACCAAGAAATGAACATTTTAACCCTCATAGGGTAAAAAACCTTTATTCCTTGACCATGAGAGTCCACCCAGGAATCCCACCCAAGAGGAAAATAAACAGCATTGAAATCATCTTTCTCAAAAAATGTCCATCCCTCCCTCGTCACTCCCTTACCAGTAAACAAGAAGCGAAAAACATCCTCCCGAAAAAACAACCTTACAGGCAAACGTGACTGCGACTTCAAGTGCCGTTCGACGGCCACCCTAAAACAACAAACATTTTCGTGAATAATTGCCACGTCCGGGCTTGGGCTGTTGAATAGCTCCACACATGAGGTAAGATACCCTCCTCTGGCTCCCACGAGACTTCCTAGGGCGAGTAGCCCTTCCATTGCACCAAATATCCTACCTAATTAAATGAAAGGCAAGAAAGGCTCGTGCTGATTTCGGGTGAACACTGAATTCAGTTAGTATCAACCAAGCGAGCACGTGCGAAAACAGGCACTACAACCAAACACTTACCGTTCCATTTCTTTCCCCTCTTTCGACGAGCCTTTCAACTTCCCAACTTCTGTAATTGATTATTTTTGGCTGGCCAAAGTCGGCGTCCGCGGATGAAATCGAATTTAACATCGAGAAGTAGCCTCTCGACGGTCTGTCGCGCGACTCCATTTTGGTTTGATTACAGCTTCCTCTTTCACAGACGGGCCAATCACACGCTAGCTTTATTGACAGGCTGACATATGTACTGGAGCATAACAGAAATAAGCACCACCCACCTTGGTTCGGAATTTCTCGCTATGAGTCAGTCAACCGTTTTTTTTAAGGCTTGCGTTGTGTTTCATTACTTTGTTGGATAAAAAAAACAATTCATTGAAGCAGTTTTGGAAAGGAGAACTTTAAAACCATGGTTCTCCGTCTGAGGTTCCGGCGGGGTTGTTTACGCTGTTTAGGACCCATAATGGTGGCCATATTTCTGCTATCAAGTTGTGTGTTCTTTCTTGGTGTACCGTCAAGCTCTTTAGCAGATAAACTCCAACAGTTTCAACCTGTTGGCAAACCTGGTGCTCAAGAACTTGACAATATTCGAAAGCAGGGCTTGATTTCCGCAGTGGCTAGCCAAATTCACGCACTCGAAAAGATTCAAAATGGTCAAAAGCAGTTGGTGGAAAACGAACGAAAAAAGCGACAAAACTTAATTGTTGTCGCTCATGGTCGATCTGGTTCGAGCTTCACGGGAAATATTTTCAATTACCATCCGTCCGTATTTTACTTGTTTGAGCCTTATCAAACTGTGGAACGCCTCCATGGAAGAGTAGCGCCTTTTAACAGAGATTACCAAGAGAAAAGCTTTGAGTGGATGCAAGGTGTTTTCCGGTGTAAGTTTGTGTCGCCTAAACATGCTAAGGATATCGAGCATTACTATCGAACAGTAACAAGAAACTATCCAAGAGACGAGCAAGCTAGCATAGCTTTGTCCTCGCCGCCTTTTTGCCGTTACAATGTTACAGATCCAAGATGGAATATTAAGGATTGCCGAGGAGCGTTCGATCAGAAGACTTTGGAAGAAATCTGTGAAAAGAAATATAGCATGACTGTTGTGAAAGCTCTCATGGTGCGAATGCCAAACAACAGTGTGGGGCAGTTGATTAATGTGTGCGATTCTTCGGATGATATTGATTGCAAACTGCTATTTGTGGTCCGAGATCCACGAGGGATTGTTCCTTCGTCCAAAGTGGCGAATTTTTACCGGGAGACGGACAAAAATGGCCTGACGGGGACGAAGAAGTTCGCATATGAGAACTGCAGACAAACTGAATTTAACCTAAACACCACCAAACAATTACCTCCGAAGTGGAGAAACCGAGTCAAGTTATTACGTTTCGAAGATTTATCGGCAAATCCTTCTAAAATACTTCCAGGTTTATTGCAGTTTGCTGGTTTACCGATGGACGAAGCTGTTAGTAACTGGCTTTATTTAGCGTCGCACAAGCCGGAGACGGAGAGAGAGCAGAAGGCAGCAAAATGGAGGCAAGATTCTGCTGAAAGAGCAAACAGATGGAGATTAAAAGCTTCACCAGATGAAATCAGCATTGTTGAACGTTATTGTGGACGCTTGATGAAAGTTTTGGGATACAAGCCGCTTGGTAATTCGTTTGAGCTGCAGAAAAATCTAAGTGTGGCTCTTTATAATGATAATTTCGAAGCAGTGAGATGGTTTGAGTAAGTTTTTAGTAGTTGGGGGTTAATTTTTGGACCTGAAATGGTATTCCAGGATGCCACATTCAGCAAGGAGAATACGGTCGAAGTTTTGTTAGAAACGGAACTTTCAGTGAGTCCATCGAGAGTTTAAGAACGTTTTTCCACGGTAAATGGGAAACAGCAAGATTATTTCTGATTTTTTTTTCTTTTTCTCTAATCCTTAAATCAACCCGACACAACAGTAGCAAAAAAAAGTATTCACAGCCAATATTTAACAATGCGGACCCAAAACAGATTCTGACGCGTTGTTCAAGCTACGAAGGGCGACTACGATGTAAAGCACTATGTAGTGAGGTTATCCAAAGTGTTTGACTCAGTTCCTCGCGTGACTCACGTAAGAAGTGAGTTCGCTTATTTACTTTGAGCGCTAGAGCCGTGTGGGAAGTGCCTGCGTTGGTCAACTCGTATCGCGCTTTTTTATGAACGGTCGATTTTTCTGAGAAATCTTCGCTTTTTGCATCAAGAATAGCGTTATTGCTGCAGTTCTGACGAGTGATGTTATTCATGTGTTTTGTATCACCAAACTGGCGTCGCAGCTAGAGACAAAGTAGGCACCTTAAGCAACAGACGTTTTCCTTGACGACGGCGACGTGACGACCGATAAGAAACTGGGGCTAGAACGGCTTCAGGTTGCGGTCGCGACAGCAAGTTACATCCTTAAAGAAGGATTTCTCGGGCTAGCATCACATCTTTTTGTTCTGTCCACTCCATCTACGAGTTGAAGATAAACTATAGTTGGAAAAATAACTCGATGGAATAAAACCTTATACTATTCATGCTTTACTAAGAGATGTAAAATCATTGCGAAAAATAACGAAACAATTTAAGTTTATAAACTTTGCCTGGTTTGAAATGTCAAATGTAAAGAGCAAAAATTATTTTACACGTAAAACGTGTATTGCTAAAGCAATTAATTGCGATTTTTAACCAAAGTTTGTATCACCGCTCATTGAGAAAAAACAGGCGTATTTTTAGACTGCCAAGATAACACACACACCTTGTTGTGCTAAACATAGCTTTTATTGCTAAACATGGATTTTGAACAAAATCTCAGCTCACTGCGTTTTTCACTCGAC